ACCATGTTTTTGATCAACGCTTACATTTTTACTACTTTCGCTATAGCCCAGGCCTTTTGATTCATCACTACTGCTGGAGTTTAGCAAAGCCCGTCGTGAATTCCATCTATTATGGAAGATGCTGAGAGAAAGCAGCGGCGTAAGCTGCAGAACAGGATCAACCAACGAGCTCGCCGTAAGTAGTTGATGGACATTTCCGATTACAGTACTTCCTATCTTGGAAGCTGGCCTGGCCATCTCTAACCTTTGTACGCAGGAAGTCGCTTGAGCAACGATGACACAGCCAAAACTCGTGCCAAACAGCAAAGGCCGGCAATCGGAGTCAAGCTCTGGAGGGTGGATGAATTCGGTCTGCAGGCCGTAGCTGACAACGATGAATGCTCCATCACTAAGCAAGACCCGAGACTGTTTCTTACCAATATATACAAGGGCACATTGAGTAGTGCAGATGTTGAATTATACAGCCAGCAGCTCGACATGCATCAACGTCTACGGGCATTGACGGACGGAGCCTCTCCTCTCTCGGACCATCTTCTGTATCTCATAAACTACAATGCTTTCCGAGGGCTCTTTCAGAATAAGGTAACCCTCTCACAGGTGACGGATCATCTTATACTGGAAGAGGGTCGGACTGAGAAACTGGATGTAATGGTTGGCTTGAAGCGCGATGCTATTTGTGTCGAGACAGGCCTGAATATACCTCCTCATCTTCGTCCAACAGCGCTGCAATCAACAAGAGTACATGCAACGTGGATTGATTTCATTCCGTTTCCGAAGATGAGAGACAATCTCATCACTCACCATGATCATTTCAATCACCGACTACTTGTCACTGACATCATGGGAAATCTACTGGAAGACATCATGTTCAACAAATATGGAGAGGGCACTGGGCCAAGAGGACGACGGCTTGTCTCAAGAGGGAAATCTAGCGACTATGCTTCAGATCGGCGTGGCTTGATTCTCTGGGGAGAGTCACATCGCATGGAGAACTGGGAGGTGACACCTCGATTTCTGGACAGATGGGGATGGGCTGTCGAAGGATGTCCTGAGCTGATGAGGGCAACTAATCATTGGAGAGCGTTAAGAGGTGAAGTTCCATTGGTTTTTGAGAGGAAAAACACAGGACAAGTCGAAAATCTGGAGTAAACACAGGGAGTGGACTTCGATTTGGTATTTTGTGGAACCTCGAGGCTCAATGTATCAATGACATCAACCATTGTCATGATTGACGATATATTGGCTTCAGAAATGTCGTCATTACTTTCGCTACAGCAACAACCTATGAAACAGCCACGATTCTTTTTCTTCTTCGACCGTTCAGCACAAATTTCTATATCAGCCACCCAAGCTTTTATAAAAATTCCAGATTTCCCGCAAATACATCCTCTACTCGTCTCAGCTCTTCGAAATCATGACCATCGCACGCCAAACCCTCTCTTCTTTCAGACGTATCCCGACGGCCACATCCGCGGTTCGATCCAAGCCTGTGCTGAACCCATACACCTCTATCCGTATGAGCTCTGGCAAAGTCAAGACACCAGTGTCCTCCGATCCCAACCACGATAAGAACAATCCACCAGTCGCCGATCACTCAGACGGAGCCATGGCTTCGCTAAAGGGCGCACCGGGAAAACGAGATGCGAGCTCGTTCGAAAACAAGAATATGACAGAAAAGGAGAAGAATACCAACAGTCAGAATGCCCAAGAGCAGGACAGCAGAGAGGGAAGTACTGGCGAGGCGGGGCATTTCGAGAAGTCGGGCAGGAAACCCAAGATGTAGGGCGCATGGCATATTATTATGTTGATATAAAAACAATCAAGCTCATCAAAATGAAGATTTTCATTCAGAATATATCCGGGCCATGAGTCGTTATTGAGGTTATTCTGCGTTAAAGCCTGCTCATCGTTGCACAGGTGCACGTGACCTCGACAGAGATTATTTTCACCGTAATGTTGTCAATAAAAAGTCAACATTCACGACACTGTATTCTCAAAAACCCTTTGACCTACAAAAAAATGTGCGGGATCGTGCCTTTCGTCAAAGGCCTCTACGAGGATCTCATGGAAGCCATTGATGACCTCTTCCCAAACCGTTCTGCGGATTCGGCACCGCTTGCCAATAATCGCCAACCGTTTCAGTTTCAGCAGCCTCATCAACAAGCGTACACCGCAACAGCCCGCCCAGTCGCAGCAACTCATCGCAGAGCGACGGAGCGGCTTGAGGTCAGGGCTGCGTCCGCAAGGATGCCTTCACCGCCGAGAGGAGACCCTACGCGATGATAGGACGCGCAGTCAGCCACGCTGAGACCACGACGCAGACAGCCGAGCTAATGCAACGACGCGCTGTTTCATCGAGACATTAGATGGCCGTGAGGAAAAACAACAATCTTAGTAAATTGGAACATCGGCGTTCCTTCATAAGCTATTTTACATACGGACCAAAGAAATCCAACGCGAGAACACCATGTCAAAACCTGAAGATTGGCAGAAACCACGATTTGCCCTCATATACCAATCAACCTTCAAGCTCACAATTCATAAAGTGTCGACAGAAATCAACAGCAAACTTCTTCGCACTCTTCTCATCAAAAGGATCATATTCATCCTCTTTGGGCGTCGGCCACATAATCGCCAAAATCTCTCCGCCTTCTTCAGCGATAATTGCTTCATCATCACTTCCCACGCGCCCGATAAGAGCGATGATTTCTTGATTTGACCAGCTTCTGCACAAGCGTACGCGAATCAATCCTTGCTCCGCAGGCCCAGTCGTCATACACATCCATTTATCGTCCATGTCCTGCGGACGATGGCCATTCATGAGGTTTCTCATATTTGGGCCTGACAAGCGGACACGCCATTCTGCGCTGGAGGGGGTTTCGATGGATTTTACGTTGATGCGAGAGCCGGTGAATCTCTTTTCGGTTGTCATGGTCAAGGCCTTTGTTGGTTGGGTCTTTGGATTTGAGACTTGCAATAATTCAATGTTGATACCTTAAAACACTGCGTAGGATGGAGGCAAGAAATATGTATTCGTTTATATGTGATATCCTGCTTGTCTAAGGTGTTTACAGTCAGCTGAGTCATGCCGCTTGTCTGCCTACGCTTGACTCCGCCTCAATAGAGGATCATCACTCGAAGCAAAGCCTCCTTTTGTAGCTGCTAAAATCTCACTGCATAAGTCTCAAGGATCGTAACTTGTTGCAGCGCTAGATCATTGACACATGCCTCAGATGTTGTCGTAACGCGAGGACTGGGACAGCATACAACGATTAGATGCGGCACCAAGGTATTCCGTACTGCAATATGGACTGTAGAGATAAGTCTATACCACACGACTATTCTGACTTTCTTCAATGGCCAACGGAAGCATTAGGAGTACTATGAGCAGTTTTGAGATTTAGGACTTCGCTTTAAAGTATCTCAGAAGGTCCTTTGGAAAATCATATTTATCTTGGTGCTGCACCATTAAGGACCTAACTCGATAGCATCCCATCCTCCCTTGACGTGCTGCGACACTATACTACTACTATTGTAGAATGGAACGAATGCCACCACAACCAGTAACATCAGCAAGGCGTCAAAGATATATAGCATGGCTTCATTTTCGCTGATGAAGCCATGAAACCCTTGCATGAATTCGATTGCACGAACCAGATTTCGAATCCAGACTGCTACAACCGTTCCAGCCAACGCTGCTGTGAAAGGCTCCCACCGAGGACCATTTATACCATGCCGTCCTTTAGCTGCCCTCCAAAACTTGTAGACCAGGCCTAGATAAATAGTCAAAACTACCAATTGAAAGACGAGGCCGCCTAGAATCACATGGTCTCCAATCTTCATGAGGTCAAGATTGCCGGTAACTTGGACGAGACCACCGCCGATCTGGGAGCAGAAAGCCACGATATCGGTAAGAATAAATAGTACTGTTATGTTGCATTTTCGATTAGGTCGGCCGAGAATACGGTGTTTTAGTCGCCCTAGCGTGACGTATATGGTAGCACAGATAAACACCGGTGCGACAAGAATGAGCATGAGTTGCAACATGAATGGCCTGGGCGAGTTGGGTAGCTGACCGGCCCAAGCGCGACCATAATATCCAAATGTCTCGCCTAAAGGGACAGTCAGCAAGAGTTGCGGTGTTGACGACAGAGGGCCAAGGCGTACATATACCACCAAGGACCATGGGGATAAAAAAACGCCTTTTGGTCTGCACAACACGGACAATGTGTACGCATGTGACAATGGCAAAGCATGCCATGAAGCCATAGCCAGCTGCAGTCGAAGGTGTATATGGGTAATAGAGGACCTTTCCATCCTCGAACTGGACTAAACCCATGATTGTGAAAGGAGGCCGGATTAGAGGAGTTCAGGCAAGAATGGAGAGGGTGAAATGCAAGGTGCGATTCTGTCATCTTATAGCTGATGCTCTAGAACGAGCTTTCGCACTGATATTGTAACTAGTTGCAAGCTGGCACACACATTCTCGACAAAGGTCCCGAGGAGCGGAGTGCAATTTGGTCTAGCTGTGCGAATAACCAGCGATTGGCTACAGTCCCCCCTAAAGCCGGACCCTCTCGGTTTCTCCGGTGGTAGTTTCACGGACTCCATCCAATGAATAACGTTGAGAGTTAAAGCAGATTGAAATCGTGATGCGTCCTTCCCGAAAAGAATAATTTGCCGACGGCGCTTGGAAAGGAGAGACCGGAGTGGATAATCATGATTTGTTGAGCCCACATGACGTAGGAGGTATACCAAGAACATGAGCCAGACCATACACAGACATGCAAGACCCTTGGATTAGAATGCGAAAAAGGAGATAGATATACGAAAAAGCCAGAATAGGCAACCTCTCCGTTGCGTCCGAGGGCCCCGGAACTTTGTGTTCCTTGCCAAGCGAGGCTGAAATGGCTATAAAAGAGCCGATTGCGGCGAAGAGGTACATCAAACAAAAAATAGTTGTACACTGATTTCAGCATTCCATCAACTAAATAGAAATCATGCGTTTGCTTGCGCTTCTTTTATGCTCAGCAGCTCTTGCTTCCTCAACGGCGACGCGAAGATGCAAACTTTCACCCTTTGATACTACTTGGCCTACTGATGCTGAGTGGGCGGCGTTGAACGACTCTATTAGTGGCAGTCTAATCAAGACACGCCCGGCTGCATCTTCCTGTTACAAAACAAATCCGTTTAACGCACCGTTGAATTGTAACATTGTTGAGGCCAACTGGACTCAGTCTACTTTCCATGCCAATCTTCCCGAGTCGATTTCATCCCCATTGTACGCCAACAATTCCTGTCTACCTCCTGGGGCTCCAGGTTACAACAAAACGGCTGGTTGCCATCTTGGTGGATATCCAAGTTATGTTGTGAATGCGACAAGCGACGAACAGATCGCTCTCGCTGTCAGATGGGCATCGGAGCGAAATATCCGCATCGTTGTCAAGGGGACCGGCCATGATCTATCCGGAAGGTTTGTATTTCTTGTCGCCCCAAAGCATTTGGCCCTCGCTAATACCATTCTTATAGATCTAGTGGTGCACACTCTCTGTCCATCTGGACTCGTCACATGCAACAGGTCGAGTTCGATCCGGACTGGAGAGTACCTGGGACCAATAAGACAGACACCGTGCTCATCGCTGCAAGCGGGCTCACTTACGGTGATGCAGTCGGTCATGCCCTCAAGTACGATCATGTCATTGTGAGTGGCAATGATGCGACAGTTGGCTTGGGAGGGCACATACAAGGCGGTGGTCATGGCCCATTGTCCAGTACTTTCGGGTTGGCCGCTGACAACATATACCAAGTGAGAGTAGTAACGACTCAGGGTCACATACTCACTGCCGATGCCACTCAGAATCAGGACCTTCTCTGGGCCATTCGAGGGGGTGGCGCTGGACAATATGGTATCGTCACTGAATACGTGCTGAAAGCCTATCCCGCACCAAGTGTCATCGAAACCGGTTTCACTATATCTCCACGTGGTAACACCACAGCCGCATATGGAGGGACCTGGAACGCTTTCTCAGAGCTATTGCGCCTGCTCCCTGATCTTATGGACGCCGGCTTGGCCGGTGCAGCGGTAGTACAGGGCAATCATAAAGCCGGCGTCAGCATCAGCCAGGGGTTTTATGCCTTCAACAAGTCAAAGACAGACACCGAAAAGTTGATTCAGATGACCATCGATAGGATTTATACTTGCACTGGTAACGATAGTAGCATCTTATCTATTGTTGCTTCCAACACAACTGTCCATCCTACCTACAAGGGGTTCTTCGAAGCCTTGAATACTGGCGGTTCAAACCAGGCCGGAGCTTACTCTATGCCATCCAGTCGACTCCTCGGTCGCCGAGAGACATCCAAAATCAAACAGACGACGCTGATTAGCTATCTCAAGCGAATGATCACAAACTCTGACCCGGAAGGATCCGGTATGGCTGTGATCGGTTTGCAAGGTGGACCAGGTCCTGCAAAAACGCCAAGAAGCATGAGAGGCGCGCTTCTACCAGCATGGCGATCAACCTATCTCCATACAATGAGTTATAGTTTGACTCTCGACACTGCCCTTACACCGGCAGAGACCCTGGAGAAAGGAGCACGTGAGCTTAATGATTCTAAGGAGAAACTCTGGCAGGAATGGGCGGCAGATACTGGAGCGTACATGAACGAGGCAAATCCTTATAATCCGTCTTTTAAAAAGGATTTCTATGGAGAATTTTATTCTCTTCTGTTGGCAGTGAAAGGAAAGTATGACCCTACTGAGAGTCTTTGGGTTTTATCTGGAGTCGGAAGTGATGCTTGGGACTATAGTCTAGACACAGGCAAGCTTTGCAGAAGGAGTTGAGATGCTTGCTGCTAACTGTTGTTGCGTTAGGTAATGGCTGTTAGGTATTGTTTCGATAAAGAACACCTTTTCATATGGATTTATCTCTGGAAATAACGTCTTGGAGGACTTTGGTAAATATTAAACCCTCATGAGAGGATCAAACTTAGTCATGGGGCGCAGCTCCGTGAAGGGTCAAGATGATCTGAAGCGTGAGTAGCTGAGCCGTTGTAGCGGTCCGTCAATTAATCAACAACGCTTCTGATTTAACATCTTCTACAGTGAATCCCGAGGATTCAAAGCTGTCCTCGCCGCAACGTATTGGCATTGATCATGTCTGTGTCAGTCATCCACTAACGGCTGTCCAGCTTGTTCATGGCTGGTCCCGGAATGGGCAAATCACTAACTTAAAAGAACACAAGAAGAAGTCTCAATGCTTTAAATACATAATTTCGTTTTACCAGTTAGCTTGTGCCCATGTACCGGAGAGCGTTCATTATATCAGGCCGAATTTCTAGTATCGCCATGCAAAGCGAGCAATACGTTTATGTCAAACTCGGAAGAAATACGCCCCATGGAGTATTTAAGGGTCTCGGGCAAGGACAGCAACTATTTCAATGTCATAGACACTCTCATATTCGAGTTGGTCTCCTGCAGCGATGATTATAAATCAAGACCAGTGTCTGAATATTGTCTGCGTCATTGAGCGGGGTACTTGTTTTCCTCCAACATCCTTTGAAACTACCATATCTTAATTTAAGAAACGCAGAACCTCGAAAAATAAACATATCAAGTTATATTACAGCATGAGTAGTGCCTCCGGTCTTATTGAGCTCGCTCAGAGCCTGATTGAACATGGTCCCCGCAAGACGTTGCAGACATCCCGCCGCTTGCGGGCCGTTCACAACCAAACCACTATTGTGGATACTACTCACGGAGTCTATGTCTGGGAACATGACAGTTTCCCCACTATCTATGTACCAGTGGTCGATGTGAAGAACGCGAAGCTGGTCGACAAAAAGAACATATCGGTGGAGCTCAAAGAGAGGGCCGCGATAGCTCAACTCGTGATCCCAGCTCATGATAGTATCAAAGAGGCAAAAGTAGACAATGTTGTGCGCTTCTTTCAAGATGTGACCCTTGGGACACTTTCTGATATGGTACGGATTGAGTTTCGCAGTATAGGTAAGCTTTTGGGTATGACTAGACGATATATTTTACTGACGGATGTTAGATCAATGGTTTGAGGAAGACGAACCAATCTTCGTCCACGCGAAAGATCCCTTCAAACGCGTTGACATCCTGCACTCCACGCGTCCCATTGAAGTCAAAGTCCACGGCAGAACTGTTGCGAAGGCTACATCATCCATGCATCTCCTGGAGACAGGTTTGCCGACTCGTTACTACCTTCCATTGTCTGCTGTTGATCAATCTGTCCTGTCGAAAAGCCCTGTCCGATCCAAGTGTCCGTATAAAGGCGAGGCCGAATACTATAACATTGTCATCGACGGAAAGACCTTTGAGAACCTGGTCTGGTACTATAACCACCCAACTCTCGAGAGCGCAGCGATTGCACGACTGGTCTGCTTTTACAACGAGAAGGTTGATATTATACTGGACGGGGAACTCCAGGAGCGTCCCAGAACCAAATTTGCCTAGCCTTGCGGACGGTCCAAAATGCAAGACCCATATGTAGTATCATTCGTCTTTCGCGATAGTCATTGTCTACTATTACTGCTCCTTTGTTGTTGAAATCCGCTAAATTAGCTATCGATATTTATGCTGCTCTATGAATCAAGTGGACCCTTCCTGCTCCCAAACCAGTGTGGCCTCGACTCGAATATCCTCCGTTTCTGGAACAACGGTGACACAGCATGTAGAGGCAAGCTCATTTCACTGAACGGATACTTACTGTGAAGATCTTGATGATGCCGCTCTGATGAATCACCAGGGCAACACGCACAATATGATACAGGGACAAGTCAGTGAATAGGAAATTACAAGTGAAACTAACGGAACGGCTCAACAACCCAAGACATTGTGCCGTGCTTGTTTCACCTTCTATGACGATAAGACTACCCCAATGAGTCTTCGAAACCACGTTTCCACTGCAGATGCTTGTTTCCCCGTGCATAAAATATTGAGACATTGCAGGGGTATGGTCAATACGAAGTTCGTGCTACCCAACGTATTTGCTAGCGACGTGATACAGACGTATATAATGAATCAGCAGTCCAGTTTTCGAGATGATGTGTCGCATATGGAGCAAAAGCAATTTGTTTGATGAGCACAAAGGGTCAGCCACATGCCGGGGTGATTAACCAGTGTTTGACAAGAAACAGAAATCGTCGTGGCTAGGAAGCTTTGCTCCGAAATGTGACATTGGAGACGATACACCGGCGGACACAATATCACAGCTCATTGATATCAGTCCTTGGTGCACATTATTTGTCTCCACGAGCATATTTCCATTTGTATGCTATGTTTCAGCGTACCATAATGAGAAGTTCACGGTCTCGTGTCTTCTGTCGCACAGGAACGGTTCCCAAGTACCCGTAATACGACTTCGGCACCTTGTATCATATTCGCGCACCATCAAGGATTATGCCATGGACAGAAGCTGGATCATGCGTTGTAAAACAAGCACCGCTCAATTACCGACTTTCGCTGTCAAGGCTGAAGCGCCAGTCTTCAGCCACCAGGAACTAAAGAGACTGGTGAGCGAGTGGGGAACAGTACCAAGCTGGCAAGCTCACGAGAGTATCGTATTCATGCACTAATGCTGTGCTATCATAAGCTTTTCAGGCTCCCCGATAATTCACAGAATACGATTTATTGGTCCGGATGTATTACTCTGCATATAGCCGTCAATTCCTGGGATTCAGCGCCTAATCGTGCTTATCTCTCGTTACGATATTGCGGGTATCCCGGGCCCGTGCAGTGAAATAGAAGCCTGCAGACCAGAGTAAGCTCAGGCCTCAACAGGGAAGCTAAGAGAAACGGTTGAGATCTGGATCCGATCTGTCATCTACCGATACCACATCGTCTTGTTGCATGAAATCGTCTTTGCCGTTTTCAGCCTCATTGTGCCCGCATGATAGCTGTGAAAACTCGGTGTCGATTGGCTCGCCTCCCACTAGACGTTAGCGGGTTGAACGATTTCCGTTTCGCCACACATGAAAGATGGGCGGGTCGTCACTTGGCAGAAGAACGGTGTGCGACGGAAGATCTGGGTGCTGTGAGACAAAAATCTTGATTGGTCTCAGTTGATAGTGAATCAGTACTGTGATGAAATTGTATGCGATATGTCGTCGTTTTGTGCAGGCTGCGCCATGGTTGTTAGAGTTTGTTTGGCAATTTGACAGCTGGAGCATGCGGTTCAGCATCACATTGGCCTCCCGTTGGTGGCAAACAAACATTCACGGTGAGGGCTTGCCACTGATCATCCGCATTTTGGTAACATAGGCTACTGTATTGTCATCCGACCATGAAACGAGCGGTCAAGAAGACACCAGCGACAAGTCAAGCTCAAAGCTTAAACAGAAGCAAATTCTGACAGTGAGTGATTCGTGTTGGTGCTAGGCTATCGGGATCTTGAGTAATGAGCGGGGGGAATGCGCAGAGGCATTCAATCTCGGCCAACGGCCATTCCATTAGCTCATGTCTTGCATGGACCGATAATGATGATGCGCAGAGTATATCCGCAGTATTAGCAGAGATTCTCCGTGAACCAGGATCATTTCCCCTCGTTTGCCAAGTGATAAACATTGCATGTCGTGAATTGCATTGACCGGGGGGTGGCAACGCTGCAAAGCTTGCGTGGGGGGTTACAGTAGCGTAGCGTCGCACCGAGTCGGTTTGCGGGCCGTGGTACCATAAGCGCACTGGTTCAGCGGCCGTGGATTTTCTGTTAGGCTACCTACTTGAGAGTCATGAGGCCCGCCAAAAGAGTTTTTTCTTTCTCTCTTTCTTGGACTCTCTCTTCACTTTCAGGTCCAGCAACTTGACGCCCTTGCTCTCAGACCGTCTATTCCTCAAGAGAAGAAGAAGGAAACCCAAGATTCGCTGTAAATATCATGAATTTGAGAGCAAGGAAAGACAAAGATCCTAATGCTTTCCCCACGAGGCAACTTCTAATTCTCGGTATGCGCGCCTCTCACTCACCGCCATAGCTGACGGCCCCTCCCCTCACCCATGATAATCTCACGAGCGCTAACCACGACTGCAGCAATATGTCGCTTTTCGGAGCCGATTGCGTTCAATTCCATTCTGGCCTACACTTTTGTGATGGTCAAGGATTTGGGCATTGCTGAGAAAGATGCTTCTCTCTATGCGGGACTGCTCGTCTCGGCGTATGCGGTCGCTGAGGCGTTGACCTCGATGGGATGGGGTATTCTTTCGGATCGCGTCGGGCGAAAGCCTGTTGTTTTGTTTGGACTTGTTGGCGTGGCTTTGTCGAGTCTCATCTTCGGTTTGGCCAAGAGCTATTGGGTTGCTCTTTTGGCAAGGTTTGTCGGAGGCGCACTGAACGGAAACGTGTCGGTAATGCAGACTATGGTTGCTGAGATGGTGAAGTTGCCTGAGCATGAGCGTAAGTTTCTCTTTGAGCCACAATTTTCGCAGAGATGCTAACTTTCTCGCAGCCAAGGCTTACGCCGTGCAGCCTTTCGTCTGGACTCTTGGCGGCATCATCGGATCCGCGATGGGAGGTTTCCTTGCTCAACCCGCCAAGTTTTACCCTTCTGTCTTTTCCGAGGATGGACTGTTTGGACGATACCCTTATCTGCTTCCTAACCTTGTTTCAGTGGCCGTGGTGGCCATCGCTGTCATCCAGGGACTTTTCCTCCTCGAGGAGACCCTTGTTAAGCCCGGGTCCGAGGGCGAGAATGGCGTTATCAACTACCAAGAAGTCCCTGCCATAGACGACCTCGAATCTATCGATGAGCGCACGCCTCTCCGACGCTCTGCCGTCCGCACCTCCGTTTCTCGGAGCCGTCGGCACATGTCTCCCTCCACCAGCCGATCCCGACCTCGCTTCGCAGAGTCCAGTCTTGGAATGGCAGTTGAGCACGACTTTATCGACCTCCGCCGCTCTTCTTTCGGAACTGTGCACTCCATTGTCCTTCCTCAGGATCTTCTCACGCCCCCTAACGAGGAGCAGGAGGACGAGCAGACCAAGTCCGGTGAACGAACGTTCAACAAGACGATTATGATGCTCATCGTCGCACTGCTTATCTTCTCGTATCACCAGATGGCCGCAAGCAGCCTTCTCGCCACGTATTTGCTCGACGGTCCTTCTGAGAAACGCGGAGCTATCGACTGGATCGGTGGTCTTGGTTACACCGTACACGATGTCGGCGTATATCTCGCAGTGAACGGAGTACTGGGTCTCTTTATCCAGGCCGTCATCTTCCCCGTGTTTGTTAGCCGCGTTGGAGTATGGCATTCCTTTGTGAGCATGATTATCTTGTATCCTGCTTCCTACATGCTCATGCCTTTCCTCTCTGCATTTGGCGAACCCTTTGTTTCTTTGGGAATATACGCATCGTTGTTAATGCAGAGCTTCTGCGGGTTGATAGTGGCACCCGTTACTCTCATTCTTATCAAGGATGCTACGCCATCTCCTCAGGTGCTTGGCCGAGTCAATGGCCTGGCTATGTCTGGTGCCTGTTTGGCACGTACTGTTGCGCCGCCGCTGGCTGGAGTGTTCTATGCTCTTTCAGGTTCCGTGTCAGCGTGGTTCAGCTGTGTTGTTGTAGCTGTTATCGGAGCAGTCCAGCTTTTCTGGATTCCACGAAGAAGTATTAAGAGGGACGATGTCATGGTGGATAACGCCCTTACCAAGACAGTCACCAATGAATCTCGCCGTGGTCGACGTGGCAGGAATTCTTTATCATAAAAGACTATGAATGTCACAGAGACGCTGGATTCAGACGATTACCAAAGACGATCCTCTTAGCTGAGGGAACGACGGAGTATAGCAATCATTAGGTATGAACGAAAAGAAGCAGCACCATAACCAACCTCGACAACGATAAGCGAGCAGGAATATTTGGCGCTCTCGAGACGCCTTTGAAGGCGACCCTTTTCACCCACAACGATGCACAACATCCAACACGATCCTTCGCGACGCCCACCGGAAACCGTGGGCTATGTAATTCTCTCCTTTGATAACAACGACTTCCATATTCGAAGTATCGTATGCGCCAACCTTCATTGATCGACATGAAGCTGAGGCACTTTTTTCTATGCCACTTGCAAATTTCTCATGATTTCATTTCGCTTTTCCGTTTCTGCTTTTCGGGGTGAACAATAGTTTCCAAGGCGCAAGGTATTGGTTCCATGATCTGGAAGGTAATGGTGCAATCCAAAATTGCTTTATCTGCAAGCAACTACTCAACAAAGTCTTTATGCTAGAGATCCATTTTCTTTGTCCTTATGTTAGTTCGGGGGGCCAAGAGCTTCATGTTATCTTCTGCAATCCAGTGTAGCCAATATAGTATGATCATACCATCTCACGTTATTAGCTGTCTCCCTGGGTTCTGTGATTGATTGATAGTTAAAGCTTATGACATCTCAACGAGACATCAAGTTGAGTTCTATGATGATCCTCAAAAATCATCGCTGTAAGAACAACTTCTAGGTGAATGGCATTAATG